TGACAAAAGTGACTCCGGTACCCCAAGGAGACACATTGTGTCTAATAAAACTAATGTCTTGCAATTCAGTTATCTGTTTCCTCAGCTCTTCTATCTCAATGCGGCTCATGCGGTAAGGAGCAACCGAAATGGGCTGGGTGCCTGGTTGTAGGTCTATAGTGAATTCAACTTCTTTGTTTACTGGCAGTCCAAGTAGTTCGTTCGGAAAATAATCTAGAAAGTCTCGGACTACCGAAATCTCTTATATACAAATTTCCTTCTTAGACTTGCCTAGTTATAGAAAATAGCAAGGTTAAAGTACCTGAAAATTAAGGAAACTTGCCATCAAGGAATAAGTATCAAATGATTTTATTAATTTGTAGATTGCTCCTCATTAGGAGGATTAAATACAACCTTCTTGTTTAAGCAATCTATGGTAGTGTGATACGCCGCTAACCAATCCATCCCTAAAATTATATCAAAATCCCCCGTGTCTAACCCTATTAGGTCTACATTCAGTTTTTTATTTGCTATCTCCACGGCACAAGCCTTGTAGACAACTTCCCCTAATAGTGTTTCACCCCCAGCAGTAAACACAAATAACTTTAAATCAAGTTTATCAAGTGATACATTAAGTTTGGATGCAAAAATATGTGAAACAAATGAATGCGATGCACCAGTGTCAAATAAAACATTAGCAATATAGTTACAAATAGTGTATATACTCTGTACCACGTCTGGGTCGGCATCGGCATCCTGCTGTGTGAGGTTGTAAACCTTAACCTGAATAGGAGGTCTTCCTTGGTTCTGGTTCCTCGGGCACTCTCTCGCATAGTGCAGGGCACTACCACATATGCGACAGGTGTTGTTGAGGCGATAGCATGGTCGGTCCCCGTGATCCCTGTCGCAGTGCTGATAGATCTTGCCACGTGCTGCCCCTAGAGTCTGAGGGGGAGCCTGGATCACCGGTCTGGGCCTCTTATTTTGTTGGACAGGTGCAGTAGGTGCTGGTCTGCGGGGTGGAGCTGAGGGTCTGTGACTCCATGCTGACTGAGGAAGGGTGTTGAAACTCCACTCCACGATTTGCGCATTTGCTAGAACAGCTGAATATGTCTTAAGTTCTAGTACCAATAAGTGCTGCTTAATCTCTGGGCAGAGGCCCCACTGGAACCTCCTAGCCTTCCTACCCTCATCTATCAATGTCTCAGGGGAGTATCGACCTAGCTCTAGGAACTTACGAGTATATTCTTATACCATTATGTTTCCGTGGACCAGCTGGACAAACTCCATTTCCTTTAGATGTCGGATGTGCTCGGGGAGGTACTCCGCATGAAAGGCTGCTAAGAACTGCTCCCAAGTGACTGGTGTAGGCAGGGTGGTCTGCTTGAGATCCCACCAATGACCTACTTCCCCCACCAGCATGTAGGAAGCAAGGGTAACTCTCTGCTCGGGAACCACTCCTAAGATTTTGAAAGCCTTCTCTGTCTCCGCCAACCAGTACTGGGCATCTTCGAAAGAGGACTCCTATGCAAAAGTGGAAGGGTTCAGTCTCCTGTACCTCTCTAAGTAGCCCGGGTCAATCAGGGAATGAGCTGGGTCCCGTGTAAGAGGGACTGGGCCGGGCTGAGGATAGACTGGAGGGCCCTGTGGTGGCACTTGTTGATAGAATAGAGGCACTAGATTGTACTGTGGCGGTGCCAGATAGTACTGTGGCTGGGGCACCGGATTATACTGCGGCGGTGGTGCTGGGTGGTACTGTGGAGGAGCAGGCTTGTGCCGGGGTGGCTCGGGATCTGCTCGCTGTAGCGGTGGCTCAACCTGTGGTAGTGGGGGAGGGTCGAGTAACTCCCTTCTCTCCTCTCGGCCTTGCTGGGCAGCAATGATCCTTTCTAGCATTTCAAATATTCTGTTCACATCTTCCCAAAACGAATCATCCCGGGCTGCTCGGTTTAGTGGAGGTCTTCCTCTCCTCATCTTTTATTATTATTATTATTGGAATTATTTTTATTTTATTTTATTTTATTTTTTATAATTGATTTATTATGTAATAATTATATGGTTTTAAATTTAGTTTAATTTAATTAAATGGAAATAAAAAAAGTAATAATAATAATAAAGGGATAAAATTATTTTAGAGATTTAATTGAAAATAATTTTGTGAAAAAATGGGTGAAAATTTGGGTTCTGTGGGTATTTTTGAAAGAAAATTTGAAAACCGGAGGTCAAAACACAATTTAAAAAAATTGTGCCACGTCAGCTGCCCGGTCAGTAGCCCCGTCCAACCAGAACGTGCCGCGTGGCAGAGACGTTGACGCAGAAGGGAGCCACGTGGGCGATCCACGTGCGCGCGATCAAACGGTTAAGATCCGTTCCCGCGCACACCGACGGTCCAGATCAAAAGTGCGTGCGGACGGCCCAGATTTCACGTGTGCGGACGGCCCAGATTGAATCACGCACGGACGGTCCAGATTAAATCATGATAGACGGCTCAGATTAAAAGGGGAAGATTATAAATAATCTCATCCACACCTAACCCCAAACCCTAGCCGCCAGAGCCCTCGCCGGAGAAGACAACCCAGCCGCTAGGGGAACCAACCGCCGCCACCCGCCGCCGCACCAGAGCACTTTCCGGCCGCCAAACGAGGTAAAATTTCTCCCCTTGGCTCGGATTTCGATGTTAAACCCACCTGTGGCCAAATGGGAGCCAAACCATCGATCAATTGGCTACAAACGCCGCCGAAGCCTAGCAGCGCCGCCATGGGTTTTCTCAGTTTTTGCCTTCGATGAGGCCCTTCCCGATTCCTGTTCGATATAATTTTTACACCACTGTGACCACCGTCCTTTCCTCTACAAGTTGATAGGAGCAAAACGCCAAATCGCAACTCGCATCGGAGGAGCCGCCGGTAAGTCTCAGTATTCTATTTTGTTTTTTTGCCCACCGAGGGCCCTACATGTGTTTCCTCGCAGGAACTGGTGCTAGTTTGGCTGAATTCAGTCGAAAACGACAGAAAACAGCCAACTAGAGGTGGATCGCCGCCGCCACCGCCGTGCCGGAATTCTAAAATTGGCCGAGGAGGCCCTGTGTCTGATTTGAAACTTTTTAGGGACATATGCAGGTACCAGAAGTGTGTTTCAGTTCCCGGAGAAAAATTTAGAGAATCTAGGGACTGCCCGTAGGCACAGTAAAAAATCAATTTTAGACTTCGAATCAAGTAAGGATCACTCACTCTATTTTCTATCACGACATTAAAGCTTAATAAATGATAAAACGGTATTTTATGAATTAATTGATATGTATAATTAATTAAGGTTGCTAATGGAGCCCGAATCTGATATATTTTCGGTCAGTTGCTGTTTTAGTTATTTTACAGTTTTAAAGGCATTATGGTGTCTGATCTATTTATTTTATGGTTTTTAATGCATGAATCACTGTTTACTTAACTATTGCTTGATTTTGTGAATCCGATGATATGCCTGCATTGTTGGATGCTCGTTACTGGTTTAAATATTCATGATTATGTGAGAAACAGAAAACTAAGAAAAGAATATAAAAGGTATGTGAATTGATAAATGGATAAGTCGACAGCTTCACTAGATATCCTGAGAGATGGTGGACGGACCGGGTCTATAGGGAACCCTACTGGAAACGTTGTCTCTCATACCGGACGAGATATGGAGACTTTAAATATTTTGGCGCTCATACCGAACGAGGTATGGGGACGGCCCGCTTCACCCTTATACCGGACGGGGTATTGAGGGTTATGGTTTTGGCGCCTATACCGGACGGAGTATGGGGACGACCCTGGAGTTAAGTTATTAAGGTGAATGGTTTACGTGTAGCAGAGACTCCTATGAATCCCCATGGATACTGGTAGGCTAGTAAAAGAGAAAATTTGTTGCCTAATGATTGAAATATTAAAAGTATGATATGTGTTATGTTACAGAGTTCGTATGATTTCATGATATTATAATGTTATTATTTTTATAAGTTGTTTTCATGAATCTCACCGAGATAAGTGGACAGTAAAGGGTTTTATTATTGATAAATGAATTTGTTATAAATTATGCTCCATTGGTCGTTTTTGTTTTCTACCAACCTTTACTTATGTGACAGTGAGATAGTGTGACATCTTTATTGGGTTAGTGTAGCTCATTTCTTACTTAACCATTTCAGATCATGAGGACTTGATTCCCGAGCTCGTTCCGCAAGAAGACGGCGAGTAGATGCCTAAAAATTTTATATTTTTCCTTATAATATTTATTTCTAGTATTTACTTTAGTTAGCTTATTCTTTTATACGTTTAATACGTTTTGGTTATTGTGTAAGAGATTTTAATCTTATTATTTTATTTCGCTTCCGCAATTAGAATTTTTATATATACATTTCCTTTTAATCTTCGGGGTCGTTACAACTATTAAAATGTATATATACTTTATTAATTGCGTTAAAAGAATCATTGATAATTTAATTGAAAAAAAATAATTTATATTTTCCACATGTATCAATTAATAATAAATCAATTGATATAATATATTTTATTTTGTCAAAAGGCAAAATAATCATTTTTATCCATCACCATTCTAGACAATCCAATTTTCCTTAATTTTTTAAGTCCAACAAAAAAAAAAACGTTAGGACTTCTCCACTAATTTATTGAGATAAAACGTAAATTTTTCTAATTTTTATAATTTTGTATTTAAAAATTTTTAAGTATTCATTTATACAATACATTTAGTTTCATATTTTCAGTTTCGCTAACACTCAACGCTTTTATCATATAAACTGAAACTCTTTTTTATATTTTTAACCAAAATTATTACTATTTTATCACTTTTTATATTTCGCAATTATATATTTCAGCTTATAACATCTAATTATTATTCAACATCTCTAAAAAAAATAACCTGATTAATAAACTTGATTTATTGTTTTCTAAAAAAATATGAATATAATTATAATTGTAATTATATCAAAACTTCACGTTCTTCCTTATAATTTAACAAAAAAGAGCGGCCACAAGTCAAAGGAAACAGAAACTAATTAGGTTCAATCATCAAAATTTTATTTTCTTTTATTGGAACAACAGTTTTCACATCTTGAAAGCTGTTATATCACTAGTTATGTATGTACACATCATCAATGGGAGATGGGAGTATAGGAGTCATGTAAATATGTAAACCTCGTCAAATCCCCTTCTGCAGTCAAGAAGACAAGATCATCAAGCCAGTAAATTCAGTTGCATATCCAGATAGGTTTAGCTCTCAAGAAAAATAAAACAAAATCTTACCCAGCCTTCCCACAATATGTGGGACTATGGTTGTAAATGAGGTTGTCAAGCACTTTTTGGATTGGCGGTCTGTTTAATGACTTCCTAGCTTCACTGCACAGCAGTTTGAGATTACAAATGAGTAATAATTTTGATTAGTAAAATGAGGATTGCTTCTATACGAGAATCATTACTATTTATATCGTCTTTGATTCAAGTCTATTTGTTCTCAGTCAATCTCTAAATTTAGTTATTTAATATATAGAATTTAACCATATAATTTATATAAGGTGCTAATTTTTTTTTGGAAGTCCGATTATTTAATTTAATACTGGGTATTAATAGGACTTAAAACTTGTAACTGCTACAAGGTTTCTGATGAGTTCACATGCTGGGTTCCTGCTTGATCTAATTTTCTTAGATTTGGGAGGTCTGTATATATAAAGATCCTCTTAGAAAGCTGGGAAATCAAAATCCCTATATAATGATCTCACTAGAGGCTTTCATCGATCTTAGGAGCTTTAACACATTGTATGGGCATCCAGATGATGGTGTTCTTCTATCTGTAGGAGCTACTAAGTTACTGGCATGGGTAAAATAATTGTCAATGACAAGATTTTGGAGAGGAAGAATGCAAGAGATTACTTTGTCTAAGATTCTCTCTGATTTAGTGATTTATATGGCCACAAGACAATTTGGACAAACTACTAATATATCCTCATCCGCAAACAAACAATTTTCTTTGCCATTTTAATTTTACCTTAAAAGTAATCATTTTTATCATATCCTAGTTCAGACACTAACGACTAGGTAACATCGAAGCAAGTACTGCTTGGTCCATGCAAAATTGCCAGTTGAGATGTTGAAATCTATTGTATCAGCAGAATATCCTGAACCAAATATAAAGAAGGCAATGTGAATACTCTCCTTCTTAATGAGTACTAACCTGATAAAATAATTTGCAACATGTTGAGTCACTTGAATAGCCTCTTCTGAGTGTGGAATCGCTGATACACCCCATTCAAAAGCATTTTTCTGCGTGTAGGATGGTTTATAATCAATGCATCATCAAATTTAATGCAAACATTTAAATTATGAAATTGAGGCCCCCATGTACACCCCAGTACTTGTAGATTGTGACAATTTTATTTTGAATACTCAAGTTCACTATACCTTCTCAGATTTTTACTTTTTATATTGAAAACAAACTTAAAAGTCTCATATTCTGAATATAGGAGAATTTTGAATAACCTAAGTTTCTTGGTTCTCTGTTACAAGAAAATGATCACCAATGTGGCTAAAAATTGTCCAAGGCTAGTTAAAATAGAGGAAGCTTCCCACTGTAACAGAATATAATAGATAGTTGTGGATATGTTGAAATTGAAGAAAAAAAATTTATTTTTTTAAGTTATCCACGTAATTAATTGTGAATAGTTACTAGAAGAGATATTTTGAATTAGACAAATGCCTCTGTGGCCCAGGCCATGAGACTACAAACATTCTACTCACAATACAGCCCCCTTAGTGTTTCATTCTGCCTCCCTCACTCTTTCCTCAACTTGGACCACTGATAATCTCAAACCTGACTCTTGGTCTGGATTGTCCCATGTCTCATTTCTAGCACATTACAATGTGCTTATTTAGGTCTTACTAAAATCTATGCATAATCCTATTAACCCTTTTGGCAATTGAATATAGCAGGATTATTATCGTTGTAGAATACCCTGAAATAATATTAAGATGATAGTGTGAAAATTAAATGCAACGAAAAAATGAAGTAAATTGGTGACAGTACCTCAGGATGCCACTGGAAGGCAGTCACAGGATAGCTATGTGCCTGAACTGTGGAGACATAGACCTGATGGAGACAGCTCTCGAAAGATCAGTACCCAACCAGTGAACTAAAAGGAAGCATAAGTATTCTAACTTGTTCATTGATATAAATTTAAGGAACAGTTAGTTTCAGCACCTTATTATTTTTATCTGCACTTGTTGTCAGCAACCTAAAGAAGCTAGTTAGATGCCGATTGCCTTTAAGTGTTTCTGGTGAAATTCCATACTGTTTCATGGCAGTATCAAATCAAGTTAGACTTGTGCTAGGAAACTTAAGCATAATTACGAAGATCAAGGAAGAATCAGAATAAATGCACACGGTACAGAAAATAAAGGAAAAAGTAAAAATTCATAAGAAATAAAATTAGCGGCCTAAGAATGCTGAGCTATTATATAATCAGCTGCGGTAATTACGCAAACATGACCAATGCATTAATCAGAGAAAGTAATATTCATAAAAGACATCAGGCCAAAGATAGAAGAAGATGCTTCTTTCAAAACCAAAAGAAGATTTATATGTTAACTGATGTATAAGAACTGAGCACAATGCTAAGCAAAAGAAGACTCATAAGTCAAATTACGTCAATACATCTCAAAAATCAGAAAGAAGAGAAACTCACTTGATGATTTTGCATAACCAGGCAATTTGTCTCAAGCTTTCTCCGCAGACCTGGCGGAAATCTGAAAAGAGAATAGCAAGTTCCACTTACGTAAAATGTCATTGCAGCAGCCAAGAGCAAGATGTTCCAGACAATGAACGTGGACATATGAATATCAAAGAAAGTAACACAACCAAACTTCAGCACTTGTTGCGAGCAAGTGATCAAACTTCAGCACGTGTCACTTTCTAAAGTGACTTATTATGCTTACATGCTTATGGTTGCCTGAAGCCAAGTGAATGATTTTCTATAAGCTTGAGCTAAAAATAAACTAGTCCAAATTTATTATTTATAGCACAGTATGTCCCCTAATTAGTTGGAGTAGACAGCATGAATCTTTCACAATATCTGTTTTTTAAATTATTATGTACGTGTAAGATAGGAAAAGGTCTAGAGCTGAATCCCATGTTGCATGAAGAAATTTTTAGATTGATTCAATTTTGTGATTTTGGCCTCCCTTTTAGCCTATTCCTGCTTCATATCAGATCAAGCTTCTACATCTTTTCTACTTTGGAGAAGGAAGGGGGATTCACTGACTACTTCTGATTGAAAAGAAAAAGAAAAAGAAAAATCTCTGACCACTAGTCTTTCCATATTCTTGATTTCCTAATTATAACTCCAGTCATAGTGGAGCATTGTTGGAGAATAGTTGAAATACTTTGTTTCTGGAGCTCCTGATGAGATCCTGATGAGAAGCTGAAATGCTGGTCAAAAAATGGTGGTGATGAGGAGTTTTTACCCTCGTGCTGGGTATTTAGAATATGGTTCCTACGTCAATTTATACAGTCATTCACCAATCCAATGACATTATGGCTTTTTGTCCTATTATGGAGCATTTAACAACATTGAATGGCAGGTAACAAATTCAAAAACCAAAAGTATTTAAGCATGCTTGATAGAGCATACATGATGTGTATTCTGAATGCTATAAAACTCCGCCAAATGCAACTAAATCCAGAATAATTTTTAATAAAGGCCACAAGAATATGTACCTTTGAAATACAGTTCCTTCAACATGACTGCTTTGCACAAATTGGAGAGTGGATGCCATATCTGTTGCACTAAAACCTTCAAGAATTTTTTGGTTCTGTTATCAAGGGGAAAATGAGACACTTATAAAGTCAAACATCTGCCATTTTGTAAGAGAACTGTTGAGTCAAAAATAATTTGCAACTAAATCCAATACAGCATTGTATATAAAACTAATGCAAGAAAACTGTCACTGAAGAAAGACAGAAGAAGTGCGAGGGAAAACAGCAAAGATAAACTAACGAAATGGAGCAACAACTTACCTTGCTTATGATCATTGTTAGAAGCTCAAAACCTAAGCAAATGGCATACAGCGGAAAATGATCACCAGCATCATTCTTCTTTAAAACTTTCTGCAAGAAACAGCAAAAGGTGCTTCATGTAATCAAAAAGAGAAAATGCATTTGTGACCAAGAAAGGATAATCTATGTTCTTGAAATTGGCATCTGAAAATAACTTAATCCCAGCCAATCAATCTCCTGGTATTAACTTCTTTTTTCACTTGAAAATATTATTATGGGCAAATGCAAAAGTCAAAACCAATATCCTGACCAGAAAAAGCCCATTTCAGCTTTGCCATTTTTAACTACGTGTTTCTAAGAACAAAGAGAGTTTTTGAATTAGTTCCAAAACAATAGTGAAACAGTGTCAGTAACTAGAATAAGGAAAATTTAGGTTAGCTTTGTAACAGAAAACATGTTCTGTTTTTTCATTTTCCAAAGACCTACAAGCTTGCCACTCACCTGAATAGCGTCACCAATTCACCCCTGGCCTCCAGCAAAGTGGACCTGACTGGAAATGGGTTTTTATGACCAATTTCATCGGCCAATTGATTCTTTCCACCCTTTTGTATATCTTGTTAAATCAACGCCAATCAAATAACAGATTCAAGGGTTCCAAATGCAACCAGTAACCAGTTTTTATTTCTTTAAATAACTATCATTTCTTCACCAAAAGAAGACATTTATACATGAATCTTGCATTCCTTGAGATAAGGATTCATAATATAATTTTCGATCTTCTAATTTTTTTTGTTTGAGATAAAAGTATGGTAAATCACTTTGATAACTATGGTACTCATTTTACATTTATAGGTTCCTCTCACCCAATATGCAACAAAATCAAATTAGAAATTTATTACATAATTTCTCTTAACAGTTAATTTTAATTTTAACCATTTGATTTCAAAATTGTCGCATACATTCATAAATATGAACATATGAGTTTTCAGGTTAGTTTCAAACTAATCCTTTTACTTTGCACAAAAAAAGATTGCATCATACCAGCTAGTTGACAGTGTTGAGGAAATTTTGGATCAGACAAGCTGCCGCTGGCAAACTAGGCTATCCATGTGCATCAGGTTATAGTAGTGAGAAAATGCTTAAATTTATTGTATGGTTATCAAGTGCTCATAAAATAATTCGTGGCATTGTTTACCTTGAATATTCTCTCAACAATGTCATAATACAAACCGCTCTTAGCCCACCCTCCAGTAAACAGCACGCCATTGACCAATTTTAGCTTCTGCAATGCAACAGTACAGATTAAGCATCGTGCCATACAATCAACCGACGTAGCAAATGGAAAATGAATTATCATTAATAGAACTATAAAAATTAAATTCAATTAATTTATTTAAAAATCAACTGAATAGATAATACGCCGTAAAGGTACTATACGAGGAGTGATTATTAGAAGCAGAGTATAAACCAGTTGCAACACCAATAAATGTGATTATTTAATTTTAAACCTTAGTCAGAAAATAACGAAACAAAAATTCAAAGTATAATACGAAACTCATTTGTGCTCTGCAGCCGCAACCAACAGTTTCTTGGAGATGAGACCTCTAAATTTCAGGAGAAAAAGAATCCACATAGAGATCACCTCCCCGGGAAATGAACACTAAACAAAGTTAAGTCCCTCGAAAACGATCTTCCAGCCTGTTTTCACTGAAAAAAAAAAGAACTGAAGCTTATTTCAGCTACCTCGAAAAGTACTTCTCGTGGCTCGTTGTAGATGAGCGGAATGACGCGAGCACCAGCGGACTCGACGAACTTAACGTAGGAAGCCGCGATGTACGAAGCGCTCGTGACGTTCCTGAGGCGTCCGGAGGCGCCGTCCCCTGGATGACTCAAGATACCGATAACCGGACGATAATTCAGCTTTGGGGGAACGGGACACCTCGGCACATGAGAACTCAACGAATCAGTTACGGAGTCATCGCCACTCGCACTTAGTTGACCAGGGAGTAAAATCGAGGACTGAGCTCTCGCTAGGGCGAGCTCCTTGGAAAGAGTAATCAAGAAAGGAATCCACAAGTAGTTCCACATATCGGAGAACTTAGAAGATGAGGAAGTAGAGGATGAAACGGTGTCGGTTGGAATATCGGGGGAGAGGGAGGGAGGCTCAGATGATGAATTAGAAAGCAAACGGGAGTGCATTTTGACGATTCAGAAATGAAGAGAGGTCAGGATTTTTGGTGAGACGAAGATGAAGAAAATGGGTTGACATTGTAAACGAAGGCTGAGAAGAAAAGCTCGAATTCTGTACAGTACGAACGATAAAGATGACCAGAAGAAGACGAAACTTGGATTAGTCACGCAACTGGTTTTGGCAGACCAAACAGTTTTTCAGAGGATTTATTTTTGAATGAATGAGGAAAGAGAGCCACCTGCTCCAAAAAAAATTGAAAATTCTTATTAATTATTTATTATATATTAATTTTTTTTTCCTATAATATTATAATATAAGGATATTAATTATTTATAAATTATAATAATTGAGGAGCACATTAATTGCTTCTAAATCTGCTTAATAGGATAATAATTATATTGAATCTTCTAGATAAATATGACTTTTTCAAGTGTTTCTTTTATTACGAGGATTTGACATTTGAAGAGAAATAGGACTGTTTAAAAAATTTACATTTATTTCTGTTTATAATTGAATACAGAATTCAAAAAATCTAAATTGAAACAGGAAACAAGAAAATAATAAATTGAATCAATGAAATGTTGTTTGGTCTTCACTGGGGATTTGAATTAGGAGAAGATTTTTTAGGAAATTTCTATAATTTTATTGAAAAGTGAAATTTCATCATTCCTTCTAAAATGAACAAATATAATATCATTTATGTAACATCCGAGCCTTAAAATTTTGGTCGAGATAATTTTTTTAAATTAATAAAAATATATATAAATAATTATATCTTATTTTATTTTAATTTTTTAAAATTTTTGAAAGAAATAGAATCAACGGAGAAATTGAAAATAAATTTGAAAAAAAAATAGGTACAATTGTAAATAAAGAAGGTGTTTTTGAAAAAAAAATTGAAAACATTGAATAAAATCGCAAAAAGAAAAAGTATGGACACGTAGGATGGCCCTGTCAGCAGCCACGATGAGTCAAAACACGCTGCGAGGAGGACACGCTGACGTCGACTCCACGCGAGAGGCAACACAGGCGATCTGCATGCCTGAGTGATCCGACGGACCAAATCGTATCTCACGAATAACCCATATGTATTCCCT